ACATCAATAAAATAATTTGAAAAGCACCAATATCATCAAGAAAATATGTTGGTGAAGGTTATAACACAAAGTACATGAACACATGAACATGCATTAAAGCCTCCACAAGAAGCCATTATTTACATAATTTATTCTGGAAATGTAAACATTCAGCACAGTTAATCTTTTTTGACTGGCTGGTTTATGATATCTTTAAGAAAATAATAGTAATTTAATTTTTAGAAAATGTGAGCTGCTGGAAATAAAAAAAAATAGAATATTAGATGAAAAACTCAAAGTTAAATGAAAATGTAGCATTTGCAACTAACTAAATGAAACAAAATAATTTTAAGCTGATGTACTAAAATAAAAAAAAACTAAATAAATAAAAATCAATTAATGCTAAATAGAAATATTACAAAATTAATAAAAAGGAGAAGCACATAAAATTACCAAAACATCACCTAAAATTAAAACAATAAGTAAATAATTAAACAGTATATAAATAATACTAAAATATGACTGCTGATTGCCTGTGCAAAACCCAAAGCCACAATACTACACCGTTGTTGAGGTTTTTAGCATCTTGCTAGGTGGTGGGAGGGTTGTTGCTTACTAGCCAAACTTTTAAAAAAAAGCCCATTTCCAAGTCTCCTATCTTCACTGTCCTGCATTACAACATGCTTTGACTACCTAAATAAAAGTGAATCATGAATCTGACGTTCAGTCTCTTACACAGCACTTTAGACATACTTGTCATAGAAACAAAACTCTGTCTTAACCTGTAAGTTTTCCAGTAAGCTCTGTGACCAGATGACGGTGTTTGTGTGTCAGACATGAGTCAGCTTAGCTGGTATGAACATTGTTTCAGGTTTGTTTACACTGATGCTTGCCCACGCAGAGTCTACGACAACTGCCTTCTACCACACAAATCGAGAAGACAGAAAACAAGAAGAGAGAACGTGATTTAGACGCAACAAAACAAAGTAAAAGATCTGAATACTGAAAACAAAGACATTGAATGATTCCCAAAT